CAGAATTCACTGGCCCTTCCTGCTTTCTTTCCAATGCCTCTCATGTGGGGCCCACATGGACCTAGGGGCCCAGGCCTCCTGGCTCCCCACCCGAGGCTGCTCTCTCTGCCCAGGTCCTGAGCAACAGCAACCAGCTGCTATTGAAGTCGGTGACCCAGGCAGATGCCGGCACCTACACCTGCCGGGCCATCGTGCCTCGGATCGGAGTGGCTGAGCGGGAGGTGCCACTTTATGTGAACGGTGAGTGGCTTGAGAGGGGCTGGAGAGACAGGCACTGTAGGTTCCAGCTGACCCTGACTGCCTCTTCTGCTTGCAGGGCCCCCCATTATCTCCAGCGAGGCGGTACAATACGCTGTTAGGGGTGATGGTGGCAAGGTGGAGTGTTTCATCGGGAGCACGCCGCCCCCAGACCGCATTGTGAGTGCTGAGATTGGCATAGTGATGTGAGGACAGCAGGCTACTTGCTTCTCTGCTCCAGCTCAGCCTCCTCCCACTTTCTCTGTCTATGCTTCTACTTGTCTCTACTTCTAGTCCTCCGACTTTCTGTTCCTCTGTCCCTTTCCCTGCTCAAATGGCATCTCCTCTCTTACGTGTTGTTTGACCCTGAGCAGATTTCTTAGTGTTTTGAACCTCAGTATCCTCATCATAAGACGGGCGCATGATCCTGCCCTCACAGGGTCTCCCTGAAGAGTAACTAGCAGCAGGTGCAGAAAGCCTGCGGAGCCCCTCACTGGGCGCGTTGGCAGTTCTCCTGGGCTACCACTCTTGCTCTGTCTTCTCCCTCATCTCCTTCCCTTTCCTCCTGATCTTTCCCTTGTTCCCTCCTCTTCCCTGTTCCTCTCGGCCCTGCCCCATCATCTTTCCTTCCCACCCTGTCCCACGTGTCACTCTCCTTCTCCTGCCCCAACTGGCTCCCTCACATGCCCCCCTCCCTCCACTCTCCTCTCCCCCACACCATGAGCCATTAATTCCTTCCATGACCATTGACTGTCAAATCCCTCATCACATTTAATGACCATTTGGCTAACTCCAGGGCTGCCCAGGGACACTTTATTACCACTGCCGCCCAGGCAGAGGGCAGCTTGGCTCCTGGGAGCTTTGCTTGCATCCTGGAAAGGAGCCATTTCTCAGCCACTACCCACCCCTCAAACTCTACTCAGAGGGAGGGGACACAAGGAGGGACTGCCCCCTGGAGGTCAGGGTTAAAAGAGCCTGGGACACCCCTCTTTGGTGATAACTCCTCCTCATTATCAGAGTCTGTGGTTGGGTCTCCAGAACCAGCTGGGCAGGCTCGTGTGAGGCTGGCTCTGGGCTGGCTAAAGGTAAGGTTGAAAATTGATCTATGTGGAAGAAACCTTGAAAGTTGTCTAGCTTGATCCTCTCACTTTACAGATGAGGAAACTGAGGCCCAGAGAGAGCAAAGGAGGCCACACAGGGACTCAGGGAGCACCAGGCCTGGAGCACAGTGTTCTTGATTCCCCTACCCAGGATTTTTTCTACAACATCAAGGGTTCCCAATAGTCAGTTCCTTGGATCAGCTGCACCCACATCAAATTGGGATCATTATAAAAATAGGGATTCCGGGACCTCTCCTTGGGAGATTCCCATTTAAGAGAGAGGGCCCATGAATCAGCATTTTAAAGAATGTCCCTAGACTTATTTGAATGTTCCTGGCATATGTCTCAGTCATGTTTGGGAGCCAGGGCTTCTCCTAGACTGGAGGTTCAATGCCAAGTTTGGAGGCAGAAGGTGACTTAGATTTGTTGCAGGGTGAGTGTTGGGCTGCTTAGGGGTGCATGGGGAATATGGGGTAAGGACGCCTTGAAGGTGGGTCAGGTGTTCCTGCCACCTGCCTCTTCCTTACCTGCTCCTGCCCTCCTCACCCCAGGCTTGGGCATGGAAGGAGAACTTCCTGGAGGTGGGGACCCTGGAACGCTATACAGTGGAGAGGACCAACTCGGGCAGTGGGGTGCTGTCCACGCTCACCATCAACAACGTCATGGAGGCCGACTTTCAGACCCACTACAACTGCACTGCATGGAACAGCTTCGGGCCAGGCACGGCCATCATCCAGCTGGAAGAGCGAGGTGACGGCAGTGCTTGCTGGCAGCCAGGGTATAGGGCAGCCTGGGGATTCAGCTCCCTCTTCTTCTCGAGACCTGGCCATGTTGCTCAGCTGGGGAAATCCACTCACTTTTTAAAATGTTTATTCAGCATCTGCTATATGCAAGGCCCTGTGCTAGGGGCTGCGGGGACCAATGTGAACAGTGAGAGTCCCTGCCCCCAAGGAACTTTAGTTTAGTGGAGGAGTTTACAGAGTGGCAGCAAATGACTTCAGATGGAGAAACATCAAGTGATCTGTGAAGGGGAATAACACCACCTACTTCACATGAGGATTACATGAGAGAATATTTATAAAATATCTTATATAGAAGAGATGCCCAGTAAATTTTGGTTCTCCACCTCTTCAAGAATCCTTAGTCTGATAGGAGACATGAGTTCCCTCTCCTAAGGCACTTCTAGATAATGACAAAAAAGGCATTACTTTTGACTTTTGGAAGCTTCCAAGTCTGAAGGAAAAGGTTTATTTTTTGTTTTTTATTTTGTTTTATTTTTAGAACTAGCCATTTGACATGGGAGATGGGGAAAAATAACTGGGGATCCCATCAGTTCTGTCTTAGCCGAGGGTGCCAGCAAGGGGGTGATGTGCAAGAAGAGAGTAGAGAGTAAGACGGCGCTCAGCAGGCAAGGCTTTCTGGAAGGGAAGAGCCTTACATGGACCTGATCTACCCAGGACTGCCAGGAAAAGAGAGAAAGCCGGAGGCAGGAGTCAAGGGTCCTTCTCAGCTATGGGGAGCAGGGGAAACCCAGGAGGACTGTTTGAGCCCTGGGTGGGTAGATACAGATAGAGCCATCACAATGGTGTGGGTAGAGCAGGTGATAAAAGAGGTCAGAACACACTTGGTAAATTGAAGAATTTGGAGACTACTGACCTCAAACAAGAGCCCAGCCCAGGAAGGAGAGAAGAAACCTCATCAGAAGGTGATGTGCAGGAAATGGACAGATGGACTACCAAGGCCAGGGTCAAGTTGATGCCCCAGCTGCTAGGATGTGACATGAGCACGGCCCCCAGTCTGATCAAGCTAAAGCTCAGGCCTAAACCCAAACACAATGCAGACCTTCCTCTCAAACCCACCTTGAATTAAACCAGCTCCGTACATAATCCAGGGATGCTAGTGGAGCTTGTGGCCTTATGGCCAGCCTGGTCTTGAGCCAGCACTGGGCTCAGACCTCTGGAGTGGCTCCATTCTTATCTCCTCCTTTCCTTCCTCATCTGAAGAGGTGTTACCTGTGGGCATCATTGCCGGAGCCACTATCGGCGCAGGTATCCTGCTCACCTTCTTCTTCATCACCTTGGCGTTCTTCCTCTACCGGCGCCGCAAAGGCAGTGAGTATGGGCCCAGTGGAGAACAGCCCACCCCTACTGCTTCCAGGGTTCCCAGCAGGCAGGGCCTCAGGGTCCCGGGGGGTGGCATTTGCACTTCCTAGCCCAGGTGGGTCCAGAAACAACCACTGCAGGGGCTGGCAGGAAGCGTCAAGCTGCCTTCCCTGTCCCAGGTCGCAAGGATGTGACTCTTAGGAAACTGGACATCAAGGTGGAGACGGTGAACCGCGAGCCACTCACAATGCATTCTGACCGGGAGGACGATAACGCCAGCGTCTCCACAGCGACCCGGGTCATGAAAGCCATCTACTCGGTGAGGGTCCCGCTCCTCCCCGGCCCACTCCTCTCTTCGCACTCTTGGGACTGGCCCCTTGGTCGGCTTACCTTGGTCCCAACACACACATGCACACACATTCATACTCACAAATGCTCACATGCACACTGGCAGATTTGCGTGTGCACGCACGCTCGAACACACTTCCAGGCAGGTTTCCTTCCAGCAGAGGATAGGCAGGTTGGGCCCCCTGGAGGTGTCTTTCACCCCATCCTTCTCCCATTGTGTCAGAATTGGAAACTCTAGAAGTTTTCTTATCCAACTGCCTCATTGCTGAGTCCCAGAGAAGGGCAGTGACATATCCAAGGTCACATTTTTGTATTAGTGACAAAGTTGGTGCTAGATCCCAGGTCTCTGGCCTCTTCCCACCACATCCCAGAGTCTCTGCTGGGAGAGGATACAGAACTCAAGGCTGTCTGTGACCCCAGACCCTTCCTGTTAGTAGATGGCCTCTGGGCGTGGGGATGGGGTTGCTGGGTGGCGGGAGGGGGCAAGAGCAGGACCTCTGTCTCTTAATGCCTCACTCCTGCTGCTCTGCAGTCCTTTAAGGATGATGTGGACCTGAAGCAGGACATGCGCTGTGACACCATGGACACCCGGGAGGAGTATGAGATGAAGGTGGGAAAGGGGGAAGGAGCCGAGGGAAGCATGAGGGCTGGGCGGGAGTGTACTTTCCGAGGGCCTGAGGGCAGAGGGGAGGATGGACAGGAGGTTTCCTGAAGGAGCAAAGGAGGGGAAAGGTATTGACTGGGAACATAGGGCAAAGGCAGAGGAGGAGGCCCCGAGCGCCATGGCAAGATTTGACCTGCACACACAAGAGGGTGCTTCCTCCTCCATCATCTTCTCTTGTTGCCCCCAGGACCCCACCAATGGCTACTACAACGTGCGTGCCCACGAAGACCGTCCGTCTTCCAGGGCAGTGCTTTATGCCGACTACCGTGCCCCTGGCCCTGCCCGCTTCGACGGCCGTCCTTCTTCCCGTCTCTCTCACTCCAGCGGCTATGCCCAGCTCAACACCTACAGCCGGGCCCCAGCCTCCGAGTACGGCCCTGAGCCCACAGCCCCTGGCCCTGCTGCCCCAGCTGTCACTGATACAACCAGCCAGCTGTCCTACGAGAACTATGAGAAGTTCAGTTCCCACCCCTTCCCCGGGGCAGCAGGGTACCCCACCTACCGACTGGGCTACCCCCAGGCCCCGCCCTCTGGCCTAGAGCGGACCCCATTCGAGGCATATGACCCCATTGGCAAGTACGCCACAGCCACTCGATTCTCCTACACATCCCAGCATTCGGACTATGGCCAGCGCTTCCAGCAGCGCATGCAGACTCACGTGTAGGGGTCAGAGCCTGGCTGGGGCATCTCTGCGGGGCAGAGGAGAAGCTGTTCCCTGATATTCAGGGGCATTGCTCGTTGCTCCTGTCTCCAACTAGCCTTCCTCCTACTGCCAAGGCAGGTGGGGAGCAGGTCTCCCAGAAACACCTCACCGAGGATGGTGCTCTGTGCATGTCCCAGCCTCCTGGGCCTGCCCTTTCCTCTTCTTCGGGGGTATGTGTCTCTTCTGACCTGCGCTCATGCCTGGCCCCAGCATGGGAACAGGAAAGTGAAGGTTGTGGAGAGCAGAGGGGGCACTTTTTAGCATTCCCTTTCTATCCAGGCGTCATATGGGGATAAGCAGGCTTTGGCCTAGGGGACATGAAGTGTAGGGATGGGTAGCTCTGGCACACATGGGTGGAAACAGGATGGCCTAGCTAGTCCCTCTGTCATCTGCATTCATACCTGGTGCATCTCTCCTTTCTCAGGACTGCAGAAGGGACCTGGACTTATTTTCTCTCTGTCTACAGAATAGCCCTGGCACTGAGTTCAAGGTCCACCATCATTCGGCTGAGATTAAAATGCCAGTCATCCTGGCTGCCCACTGTGAATACCTGCCTGTCAGCTGCAGAGGGATCCAGGTGTCTCCAGTAGTGCTGCCCCCTTTCCTTCTTTCCGCTTGGTAACCAGATAAATGGGGGGATGTGGTGGAGAAAGGAAAGGTCAGGAACCATGTCCTGATTCACCAGCAAGACTGCTGCATGCTACCTAGCAGTTTCCAGAACCCACACTAGGAGCAGCCCACCCAAGCCCCTTTCTCTCTCCAGTCTCCCCACTTTCTGGCTTGAACTCTTGAGCCTCCCTGGGGAGCTGTGGGGTGAGGGTAGGGGTGCTATAGTCTATTTTTCAAAGACCAAAAAACAAAACAAAACAAAAAAACAATGGAAACCTCATTTGAATAAAATAAACAAACTAGGAATTCTCCCACCAAATACAGGTCCCAGAGGTCAGGGAAGAGGGCACCTGTTCTCCATCAGATTCCTAATACCTATTACTCTTTCATTCTCCAAGCACTTTGAATCCATTTTCAAGCATTCACGTGGTGAGACCTGTCTTGCAGGTGGGTTCTCACAGGCTTAGGGAGGGGACCTGGCTCTCAGACACCCTGTCTACCCCAGAGCCCATAGCTGGTTAGAGGCCACCTTTCAGGAGGCATGGGAGATATTCTCTTTAGACAGGTTTTGGTTAAGTGTCTTTTTTTGGTGGGGGGGTGGGGGGCGGAGATCCATCATATTCCTCCCTCCACATTCAGTGCCTTGAGCTTTGGTTACCCTGCCCTGTATAGGAGGCTGTGCAGGGAGCCGGTATTGTGGGCCCCAGACACTCTGTCAAAAATTGCAGGGTTTAGGGAACGGATAGGTAAGGGGGCCTGATAAGAGGAAGGGCGAACCGGATAAAGTGGCACTGAGGGCACTGCATTCAGCGATAGCCCATGCTGCCACCTCCGCCCCCAACCCCCACACACGTGCAAGCACACATTCCACATGGCCCTTCTCAGCCACCATCCGCTGACCAAAGAACCAGCGCTCCAAAAAAGAACCCGTACCCCTGCCCGGCCTCGCCCTTCCAAGAAGCAGGGTCTGGTGTGCGCTCCTGACTCACTCAGCCCGGACTAGACAGGAGGAGCTTCCGGTACGATGCCCAGAAAGCGCATCGCCCTTTCTCGTGACCACCGTTCCTTAGTCATGTACGCTTTAATGAGTTACATGCTCATCAGCCACAGGCCATCACCACTCTTGCGGGTTGGTCTGTGGGGTGACATTCCCTGCCATCCTCCTGCTGGTAAGGATCGGCTAATGCCCAGCAAGAAAGTAACTCTAGATCTGGCCTCGCAGCTGCCTTGCGTCTCCATCCTCCGTTTTAGCAGGGGCGAGCCCCGCGGACCTACCCTTCCCGAGACCTGATCCAGGCTCCCGGCCACATTCTACCCTCGGAAGCTGACCTTTTCCTGCGTTGTCCTTTTGTGTGAGCTCAGTTGAGAAGGCCTATTCAGAATGCGGGTTCCTCTGCAGACAGAGTCATGCATATTTTTTTTATTATTACAGAATCTAGAAGCCTTTGGTAATCCAAACAGTTAAAATCTAAAGATGGTGGCTTTTGAAATAGGAATATTCACCCCACCCCCGGACCTAATTTTTATTAAGGGTTTGGCTGAACTGTCTATTTCCCCTTTTTTGTTTAAGCACTGGGCGCATTTATTGAACCATGGCGAGGAGGGTGCTGATGCTGCAGTTACCATTAGTTTTCTGAGGCCTGATACAGAGCTGCTTACTGTTCTCTGTTCCTTAACACATTAACTGGGGCCTCCTGGGTACCAAGCAAGTGCTGCGGTGCAAGGCACAGGGAGAAATCAGCCACCAAAGCCATCTCTGTACACTGCAACCGACAGTGGTTGGATCAGAATCTGTTCTATTACTATTCTTGTGCACCTGGGTCGACACGCCTTTGAAATGCCAGAGTACCCATAGTTAGTGCAGACTCCACAGGTTTAAGGGCCTAACCTGTTAGGCCAAATGGAACCACTTGTCTGGGGAGTGGAAGGTGCCCTTGAATGTAGAGCTTTGTTGTCCAAAGATGGAATCCTCCAGTATGGTGCCTCAGTACTTGATGTGGTCAGCTTGGTGGTCCTGACCACCTTTGACCATGTTGTTTTGGTCAAGGGGCTAGGAGTCAGGAGACCTGGAGCCTGATTCTGAAGTTGACATCTACTGATTGTTGGCCTAACCTCTTCATTGTCCCTGATTTTTCTACCCTGTAAAGTGAGAGAAAAGGATTGCACAAACCTGGAATTTTTCTGCTCTTTCTGTATTCATTTGGTGAGGAGAAGAGGCCTAGGCAGTTGGGAACAGTAAGCTGAGGGATGGAGTTGAAAGATTCTCTTGAAAGAAGGTTTCACCACTGGCTTCATTATCCTGTTGGAAGTATTATGAATGAATTTCTACTAGGAACCCCTTAAACAGCAACAAAAAGCATACCTTAAACAGCAACAAAAAGCTTACCCTAAACCTCAGTAAAATTGATGTGGGGTTATCCTTTGGCCATTGGGTAACTGTACTCCCCACTCAGAATTCTGAAAGTTTTGTAAGGGTTTTTATGGCCAAGGCAGGGCATGGTGACTCCACCGTGTATCCAGGTTTCCTCTGTGGGGAGAAATGGGGGTAGCCACCTGCCACCCTAGTCTTTAGGAGCATTTTCCTGGCCCAGGGACCACTTACTAAGTGAAGCCTGCAGGTGTCTTGAGCCAGAGGGCAAGGTGTGAGTACAGCTGACCCCTCTGTGAAGGAGCAGGTAGAAGCGCAGCTAGTAGAGGAGAAATGGGTCTAGTGGTTCTGACATAAATTCAGGGTCGTGAAGAGGTTCTTGTGATTCTGGGTGAGCCACTGTTTCTTTGAAGAGCACAGACCCAGGGATGTAGTTGGGAATGCATTTATTTTTGTGAAGAGGCTATAAAAATAGCATTTAAATATTTCATTTCCTATTCCCTGTCTTCCCCTACCCCACCAACCTCCCCACATCGTCCCCCCTCATCTCTCCTCTCCTGGAGGCCAGCCTCTTTCTGAAAGTCCTCACCTTTATCAGCTTAGTCCTGAATTCCACCTCTGGGCTGACGGAGAGGACAGAACGATGTGTGGCTTGGGAGATGGAGGGAAGGGCAGAATCTCATTTTCTTACGTCACTGTGAGGGAGCTCCAGGCCCTGTTCCTGGAGAAATATTTGCTGTGCGGAAGTCACAGGCCATATTGGGTGGTTCTGGTATAAGCCTACCCTTAAAAAATTATAATAACTCCATTTGCATATAACTATCACTCATTTCTACCAGTCTCCTGCCCCGACTCCTGGCTTTTTGATGGCCCTAACCAATGGCCTTGTCAAATGGTGATGGGCCATTGGCTCTTAGTTTCTGGAGATCTTCATATGCTGCCCCTGAGAATACCCCTAACTGGAGAGAGAGCAGCTAAGCTGCCAATACAATCAAATTCTCCACAGATTTGGCTGCCTCCAATATCACCAGAAAGAGGCCCAGGGATTCCCTGTGGTCACATTTCCAACCCCAACCATTCTTGGGATTACAACCTCCATTCTTGGCTTCATGAATTTTCTCCACCCAAAGCCCAATGATAAATGGATCCATGATGATAATTAAGAGAAGAGAGAAAAATATTATTTTTGTTAGGACAGACCATCGTAGATTTTTAGCAATGTGTATCTGTGTGTCCTTCACAACTTTTCCTATTCTGCCTTTTTTCATTTTCCTTTTTTTTAAATATTATGTACTATATTTTTAGTCTCAAACACACTATATATTATATATTTAATTTTTATATATATAAATATAAATGTTCTAAAAAGTACCATGTTTTGTGTTATTAATGCATGAGCAGCTTTCATTACTTAATAGCTTACCTGATTTGGGGTAAAATTGTCCAAATTTGGGGGAAAAGATAGGAGGTTTTTGGATGAGATTGCAGACACTGAATTTGTGTCACTCCAGGCCGTGGGGCAAACACATTTCATTCATCAGTTAGTGACTGGCAGAACCCTGAGGCCAGTTATGGCAGTTCAGGGACAAACAGTTCAAGGCTCTGTGCTTTTAGAATACAGCATCCAAATGTTCTGTGCGGAATCTGATTATGGGGATAGGAAAGGAGGAGACTGAATCTGGAATCCAGATCGCAAAAGAGTTGGGAGTGGGGGCAGGAGGAGGATTGCTTTCATTTCCTAAAATGCAGTGATTTGGTTAAAAAGCAGTTACCAGGTCTCAATCTTTTGAACCTGTAGTAAAACAAAATGAAGAAAATAGTGTACACATATAGAGGCCTTTCTGCTTAAAAACTCTAAATTTTCCTAATTTAGTAGAGTTTGCAAAGATTTCTCTCTTCATTTCACAGGAGTGTTTGAGGATAATTGAGAATAAATTATTTTCAGATGGTTTCAAAAGCTGTAAATTGTTAGAGAAATACAAGGGTTTATTGTTTTTCTCACCCGATTAACCGACCAAACTAAAAATGGTCCACAGTAACCTTTTTGTACATAAAGGCCATAAGACACAGACAGAGATACAGATATAAGAGCTGAAAAAACAATTTAGATTTAATGCGACCCATTTTTAAGAAGGTTAGGGGTCATAGCCCAGAGTTATCACTGAAGGAGGGGCAGGGAGCAATAAGGGCTGCAGTCTGAAGGCCTGTGTCCAGGACCGAGAGCCTGTGGGTAGCCCAAGTCAAGGCCAATCTAGATGGGAATGAGAGGCCCATGTGCAGAGTAAATCTTGAGGCTGCAGCAGGGGAGTTGAACTGGCACAGGTAAAACATAGAATGATAGTTGGGATCCAGAAGCAAACAGAATAGAGTGAAACAAAAAATACAGGAGAAGCAGCAAGTTCGTGTAAACTTGGAGACCCAGGAGAATTCTGTTAGGCCAAGTAGTGTTAGGTGGGGTGCTTCCTGTGCTGTGTCCACTAGGGATATTTTTTATTCCTCACTATATCCCCAGAGCTCAGCACAGGGCCAGCAGGCACTTTGGGACAAGTCTATGAGCTCTATAGGGGCACCACACAAGGTTCCCAGGGACCACGCCCACTCTCTTCTCTAAGTACAAGACAGGCCACAAGAGCTTGTATTCTGTATTAGGCCTTTTCTTGTGCCAGGGACCCAAGCCCCTCCCTTTTGTCACCCCTAATCTCACCCCACAATTGAGCATAAGTAATACCACAGCCCCTTTATCATCAAACTGCAGAGTTTTAAAAGCCACTCTATCTTATGAGTTAGTTTGCCTCGCAGCAAGAGTACTTGCCCCAGGCACAAACGTGCTCTTGTCTACACTTTCCCACCCAAGTGTGAAAGTTCGAAATCCCCAAGAAACATTAGTTCCAAAAGGATCTACTCATTCAACCCTACCTTTCACTTACCCAACATTTCAACACAATCAAATGGAATCGTGCCTTGTTTGGAGTATACTCTTGCAATTTTCTGCCCATGTGGTTTTTGTCCATGCTCTTTTCTCATCCTGAATGCCCATGTTCCTTTACCTTCTCATTTCCAAATTTTACTTACCCTACTCTAGGGCCATCTCTTCCAGGAAGCCTTGCCTGATTCACTATTTACTTATTGTCTCTCTCTCCTGGAAGTCCCAGGATAGGTGAGCTGTGTCTTGCTGACCTCATTTATAACTGTCTTCTTTGACTGCATCACAGTGTTTTGTGTGTGACATGTCAACACTTTCCTCTTAAAATAAGGGCACTTAAAGGCAGAGAACATGTATCATTTATTTTAGTATCTTCATCACCCAAGAAAGTGTCTGGCATATAGTTGCTCAATATGTGTTGGAGGAATGCAGAGATGGAGGAGAGGGAAAGGGAAGAGAAACAAATGCATAAATGCAAGGCATAAAGGGAATTTAACCTAAAGGGATGACATGCTTGATGAAGTGGTATAGGATGGTGATTAAAAGTATGGACTCTCAAGTCAATCTGCCAAGCTGATCCACATTACTGATACTCACTAATATTGAGTTCTTTCTTTCTGAGTCCCCTGGTTGTTGGGCAAAACCTATCTGACTAATTTTGGCCAATATACTACAAAAAGAAGTGACATGTGACTTTCAGACCAAAACATTTAATTGCTAGAGTGAGACCCTCCAGCTCTTTGCCATTGTGACAGGAGCTCATTTATTCCAGATGGCGCAGCTTCATAATAGTGCAGTCCCTCTCTGCCTGGGTCCCTGAGTGACTGCAAAGCAGAGCCCTTCTGCCAACCCATGATGAACATGTAGTTTGAAGAAGAAATGAATCTTTGTTTTGTTAAAATATTGAAAATTTGGAGTTGTTTTTTACAGCAATGTAGTGTACCCTATCCTGATTAACACAGAGCCTCACCATTTGCTCCTAAGTGACCTTGGGGAAGTTACTTTACCTGTCTGCATCTCACTTTTCTCCTCTGTGAAATGGACTAATAATAGATTCTAGCCCATATAAAATGCTTAGCAGAGTTCCTAGCACTCAGTACATATTAGCTTTTGTTGGCCTGGAGAAAGATGGGCAGTAGGCATCTGCCTCCTTCCCCTTTGTCTCTTCCCTTAGAGACATCTTGAAAGATGTCACCAAATGCCCAGGGGTTATGTAAAGGACATGAAATCTCGAATGAGAAGATTTAAGTTAAAATCCCAGCAGTGCCACATGGAACTTGGTGATTCAGGGCAGCTCAGCACACCTTTCTGAGCTACCTTTTCTCATCTGTAAATGTTATGAGCACTCCAGGAAATGAGATATATAAGCGTCCTTTGTAAATTGCTAGTTAAATTCTCTTCAAATGTGAGTTGACTACTTTGATCTATTAACACTCTGTACCACACCACCCCCACCCCATCCCCACTCTCTCCAGTATCCCTCTCAACACAACTCCGTTGCCACAAACATAGCCCCCACCCCTACACACACCCTTTATATATACTGACAGCTTTAGCAGTGACTCGATATTAGGAGAATTTACCCAACAGAACCCATCTTGCCAGCCCCCTGGGTTCTAAAACCAAAAGACCAGCTCTTTGCAAAGCAGGACCCTGGGGGAGGAGAAAGATCACTTCATCCACACTCACTTTCTCATTTCCTTTATTTATTGTAATTAGCTACACAGAGGCAACCACCCAGGGAGAGCGGAGCCATCAACTCCCAGAATTGAACTGAGGAGCTTTTTCTTTTTTCCTTTCCACATAATAGTGCTCTCTTGGTGGTCACTATGCAAACACATCCTGCATTCATTTGCAAACTGGAGAATATTTTATATTTTGAGGCTCAGATTAATATTTCACCTCCCCCAAAGAGACACTGGTTGGAACATTTTTTTCAAACAATATCATGTCAATACTCCTGGTCTCTGTGTCTCTCTAGCCCACCCATATACTGTAGCCTGAGGGATGACCAAACTGTGTCTTCTCAGAGCCCTCACTAAAATAGATGCTTCATTGTGTGTGGATAATACACTCTTGAAAACTGAAGACATTTCTGGGGCCATCTGGTCCAGCTATGGACCCAACATAGGAGCCCCTCTTCGGCCTCAGAGACAAATGAGCTCTGCATCAAGATCATCAGGGGACCAGAAAGTAGGGTGGCTTTTTATGGAGTCTGGACTTTGGACCTTGAATGTTTGGGCTTCCCTCCACCTTCTCCAGGCACCAGCTCTGTGCCTTTAGGAAAATCATTTGAACTCCCTGGACCTTGGTTTCCTCATTAATAAAAATCATTCCTTCATTCATGCAAAAAATATTTATTGACATTTACCAAGTGTCTGGTACTATTCCAAACCCTGAGGAGACAGCAGGAAACAACATAAAGTCCCTGTTCTCATGGCACTTACACTACAGAGGTGGGAAGAGAATAAAGAAATGAATGTGTGTCAGGTAGTGGTAAGTGCTATGGAGTGACACAGGGCAGGGTAAGGTAGATGGCAAGAGATGGAAGGAGGAGGAGGCGTGCTATTTTAGTTGGCTGGTCAGAGAAAGCCTCTAAGATAAGAGGACAGGGAAGCTTGGAGAAAGAATATGCTAGACAGAGGGAACAGCAACAGCAAAAACCCTGAGGCAGAAATGAGTTTAGGGAGTTGAGGACCAGCAAGGAATCTGGCTGGTGAGACTAGTGAGAGGTGGTAAATCCTGTTAGAGCAGTGGGTGGAACAGGTCCTGTGAGGGCTTGTAGGCCATTAAAAGAACGTTGGAAATTATTCTGGAATGGGAAAATGTAGTAAATCAAGCCATACAAAATTGCTATTTTTGTAGGTCAGAAATGGTTGGACATCAGCAATTTTACATGGTTCAACCTAATAGATGTTAATACGTAGTATTGTTAATTTATTATTACGACTTCTAAAAACAGACTTCTTGTTATTTTGGCAGGATTAATTGAAAGACATTTCTTCCTTCTATTGATCATGAATCTGTCTCCTTGCAATTTTCACCCAATGGCTATAATTCTGCCTTCTGGGTAATGCTGTCCCCAAGCAGCCTTTTTGATATTGAAAGATAGTTGGCATGTTATGTCTTTTCCCAGAGGCCTCTTTTCTGAGTGAAATATTTCTGATTCTTCAAACCATTTCTTTTAGGATATGGTTTCCTGACTCAGCCTCATCTTGCTCACTCTGCCTTCTGAG